AATAGTGTGCCCCAACATTGGTGTCAGTGGGAGGAATAGTGCCCCATCATTGGTGTCAGTGGGAGGAATAGTGCCCCCATCATTGGTGTCAGTGGGAGAATAGTGCCCCAACATTGGTGTCAGTGGGAGGAATAGTGCCCCATCGTTGGTATCAGTGGGAAGTATAGTGCCCCATCGTTGGTGTCAGTGGAGGAATAGTGCCCCATCGTTGGTGTCAGTGGGAGGAATAGTGCCCCATCGTTGGTGTCAGTGGGAGGAATAGTGCCCCATCGTTGGTGTCAGTGGGAGGTATAGTGCCCCATCGTTGGTGTCAGTGGGAGGAATAGTGCCCCATCGTTGGTGTCAGTGGGAGGAATAGTGCCCCATCGTTGGTGTCATGGGAGGAATAGTGCCCCATCGTTGGTGTCAGTGGGAGGAATAGTGCCCCATCGTTGGTGTCAGTGGGGAGGAATAGTGCCCCATCGTTGGTGTCAGTGGGAGGAATAGTGCCCCCATCGTTGGTGTCAGTGGGAGGAATAGTGCCCCATCGTTGGTGTCAGGGGGAGGAATAGTGTCCCATCGTTGGTGTCAGGGGGAGGAATAGTGCCCCATCATTGGTATCAGTGGGGGAGGAATAGTGCCCCATCATTGGCATCAGTGGGAGGAATAGTGCCCCCATCATTGGTGTCAGTGGGAGGAATAGTGCCCCATCATTGGTGTCAGGGGGAGCAATAGTGCCCCAACATTGGTGTCAGTGGGAGGAATAGTGCCCCATCATTGGTATCAGGGGGAGCAATAGTGCCCCAACATTGGTGTCAGTGGGAGGAATAGTGCCCCATCGTTGGTGTCAGTGGGAGGAATAGTGCCCCATCATTGGTGTCAGTGGGAGGAATAGTGCCCCATCATTGGTATCAGTGGAAGGAATAGTGCCCCATCGTTGGTGTCAGTCGGAGGAATAGTGCCCCATCGTTGTATCAGTGGGAGGAATAGTGCCCCATCGTTGGTGTCAGTGGGAGGAATAGTGCCCCATCGTTGGTGTCAGTGGGGGGAGGAATAGTGCCCCATTGTTGGTGTCAGTGGGGGGAGGAATAGTGCCCCATTGTTGGTGTCAGTGGGGGGAGGAATAGTGCCCCATCGTTGGTGTCAGTGGGGGGAGGAATAGTGCCCCAACACTGGTGTCAGTGGGAGGAATAGTGCCCCAACACTGGTATCAGTGGGAGGAATAGTGCCCCAACATTGGTGTCAGTGGGAGGAATAGTGCCCCATCATTGGTATCAGTGGGAGGAATAGTGCCCCCATCATTGGTGTCAGTGGGAGGAATAGTGCCCCAACATTGGTGTCAGTGGGAGGAATAGTGCCCCATCGTTGCTATCAGTGGGAAGTATAGTGCCCCATCGTTGGTGTCAGTGGGAGGAATAGTGCCCCATCATTGGTGTCAGTGGAGGAATAGTGCCCCATCATTGGTATCAGTGGGAGGAATAGTGCCCCATCGTTGGTGTCAGTGGGAGGAATAGTGCCCCATCGCTGGTATCAGAGGGAGGAATAGTGCCCCATCGCTGGTATCAGAGGGAGGAATAGTGCCCCATCGCTGGTATCAGTGGGAGGAATCGTGCCCCATCGTTGGTGTCAGTGGGGGGAGGAATCGTGCCCCATCGTTGGTGTCAGTGGGGGGAGGAATCGTGCCCCATCGTTGGTATCAGTGGGAGGAATAGTGCCCCATCGTTGGTATCAGTGGGAGGAATAGTGCCCCATCGTTGGTGTCAGTGGGAGGAAGAATAGTGCCCCATCGTTGGTGTCAGTGGGGGGAGGAATAGTGCCCCATCGTTGGTGTCAGTGGGGGGAGGAATAGTGCCCCATCATTGGTGTCAGTGGGGGGAGGAATAGTGCCCCATCATTGGTATTAGTGACACCAATGATTGGGCACTATTCCTCCCACTGACACCAATGATACTTACCTTGCTGACCCCCTGCTCCAGCCTGGGCTCGCTCGCTCCCTCCCTCCCTCTCCCATGGTACAGACACTTACCGGTCAGATGTCTTCCTTCTCCGGCCGCTCTCTTCCTCCTCTTCACTCGCTCGATCTTCGCGGTGCCGCTCGGCTCCTCCTTTCCAAGCTCCACCTCCTCGCCGGTGATTGGCCGCCTGTGTGCCTCTCCTGAGCTACAGTTCCGGCGGCCAATCACCGACGAGGAAGAATTGATCCCGGGGGTGTGTCCAGATGACAGGGACGGCATGTCATCCCGCCCACACCTGGAGACGGATCGAGGAGCGGTGTCTCGGTTCCTAAGGCCATCGGAAATATGTGTTTTCCGATGGTCTTAGGCGACCCCTGGGAAAGTGTCGTTCGACCCCCAAAGGGGTCGCGACCCCCAGGTTGAGAACCGCTTTTCTATAGTGTGTACTTCTCTCAATTAAGACTTACTGTCCTTTCTGTCTGCTGCTTCATTCCTCTGCTATAAGCATGAGTCACTTCTGACAAGTTTTCCTGACACCAAGAGAAAAATGGTGACAGGGGAGGGACCTCCAGCAGATTGACAGCCTCAGCTCTGTTCCTGTGTGGAGGGGGTATGTCTCTTCCCTCCCTAATGATTTTGGCCATTTTTCAAGGCTACTAAAGTGGGGATACTATACAGGGTAATCTGGAAGCCACTTTTACAACAGGAGGAAGCACGGGTATCTACCCCCTCCCAGAAGAATTAGTACAGGGGTATCTTAGTATTCCATTCCCACAAAAAGTTAAATGTAAATAAAACACACACATTTTGAAAAGGTCTTATAAGAACGATACAAAAAAAAATGAATCCATGTAAATCCATCGTCAATCATGGCATCCAGGAATGTAAATCCATCATCAAACACGGCATCCAGCAATGTATTCCACCGTCAATCACAGAGCCCAGCAATGTATACAGTGGGGAAAATAATTATTTGATCCTCTACAGATTTTGTAAGTTTGACCACTTACAAAGAAATTAAGGGTTTACACTTTTTATCATAGGTGTATTTTAAATGATAGAGACAAAATTACAACCAAAAATCCAGACAAAAACACGATACAAATGTTATAAATTGAGTTGCAGTAAAAAAAGTATTTGATTCCCTACCAACCAACAATAATTCTGGCTCCTACAGACTGGCTATGTGCTCATGTGGTACACAGATTAGTCCTGTCAATTTAAGAAGGGGCTCCTAAGGACAACTCGTTATGTGTATAAAAGACACCTGTCCACAGAATCTCATTTTTCCTCACCATCATGGGCAAGACCGAAGAGCTGTCAAAGGATGTCAGGGACAAGATTGTAGACCTGCACAAGGCTGGAATGGGCTACAAGACCATCAGCAGGAAGCTTGCTGAGAAGGAGACAACTGTTGGAGCATTTATTCGCAAATGGAAGAAATGCAAATTAATTATCAATTGCCCTGCAAGGTCCCCCTCCTCAAGAAGGCACATGTACAGCCCCTTTGAAGTTTGCCAATGAACATATAAATGATTCAGAGAAGGATTGGGTGAAAGTGCTGTGGTCAGATGAGCCCAAAATTGAGCTTTTTGGCATTAATTCGATTCGCCGTGTTTGGAGGAAGAAAAATGCTGACTATGACCCTAAGAACACCATCCTTACATTCAAGCACGGAGGTGCTAAAGGTACAGGCTAACTTTGCTGCATTGAGGGGCCATGTATTGTAAAATCTTGGATGAGAACCTTCTTCCCTCAGTCAGAACACTGAAGATGGGTCGTGGATGAGTCTTCCAGCATGACAATGACACAAAACATACCACCAAGGCAACAAAGGAGTGGCTCAAGAAGAAGCACATTAAGGTCATGGAGTGGCCTAGCCAGTCTCCAGACCTTAATCCCATAGAACATTTATGGAGGGAGCAGGAACTTCAAGTTGCCAAGCGACAGCAAAGAAACCTTAAGGATGTATCCTCCATTCACAACAAGCCCAACTTTGAAATCGTGCGACTTACAGTCTTACTTAAAGTCGCACGATTTCAAAGTTGGAGGACCCACTGATTTCAGGTGCAATTTGCAAGACATCTGATAAAGATGTCTATGCAAATCGCACCAAAAGTAGTGCATGAACTACTTTTGAAATCGGTGCGGCTCCAACCAAGTCGAAACCGCACTGATATGACCGCTCCAATTGCGGACAATAGGATGCGACTTGGCATGCAATTTGAGAGTCACAGGGCATGCAAATCACATGCCAAGTCGCATCCAGTGTGAACCAGGGCTTAGGAGGAGGGATTTTGGTCCACTCTTCTATTCTTGGTGATGCTGCGAATCCATGACTGTTGCAAAACATCTATTATAGAAATGTACTTGCTTAAAGAATAATTCTCACCAGAAAAATGTTCTAGTCCTCCTGGAGACAAAGTGCATGTAACATTTGTCCTGTTTTGTTTGCTGTAGATGCTGAGCTAGTGGGAAATACACAGATTACTGTTAGATGGCCCTGGGATCACAAAACCAGTCGGCATAGTCAAACTAAGGCCCACTTTTTGTCCCAGCGCTGCCTACTGGCCACTAAATGCAATGAGGCCTCAGGGTCAGCAAAAAAAAAAATGTCTGCTCAGTGAATGGATTATGTAACTTTGTCAGCAACTCTGTGACTTATCTTGTACTGGTTGGAATCTCATCGGTTCTGATTCTTGCTGTACATTATGTGATTGATGACTGCTTACTCTTGTTCTCATGGAAGTAAAAAATACCAGCTCTGGATGCTATTTGATATTTTGTAGAGAGCTGTGGGTTACCAGGCTGCTCTAGAAATAGTTTGAAGGTATCAGCACTAAGCACCTGTGGCCTGCATAAGGTACAGGGGGCTCATATGTACACCTTAAAACTGAACATTTACAATCTGGCAAACCCCTGTAGTGTCTGGTTCTCTTTAAAAGGTAAAAGTACACACTGCAGTTTACTGTCCAGATAGTCTAACTTTATCAAGAGAACATTAGTAGGCATAATACAGTCTTTCACTGATAACACAGCAATGGTATAAACCAATGTATTACTTACCCAAAGGTTATTTTCAAAATAAAAAGCATCCAGTAATTTAACAATGTGTGGATGATCACATGATGCCAAAATATCGATTTCCACCATGTAATCTTCAAGTTCATCTTCAGACTTTGTATCGATGACCTTCGCTGCAGCCAAAATGCCAGTCTCTTTATTTTGGGCCTGAGAAAAAACACAGAAGAACAGTCTGTTTAGTGCAGTTATAAGACATACTCTGGTGTTTGGGTCAATATTTTAAAAAGAAAAAAATGGGAGGTATTGCACGACTTCTTTTTCTGCATGGAGAAATGACACATGGAATTTAATGACAACTCCACCAATTTTCTAAAAAAAATTTATTATGTGTAAGGACAGCACCTAGTGACTCCAGAAAACGGATAATCTGCCACTCATGGATAATTCACAAATTTAATAAAAGCTATATATAGAAAGCCATTTATGAATGGCTTTTACACAAGATTCACCAATGTCTAATCTGAACGAACAAAACCTATTTTGCAGGGCAGTTACAGTTCAGCAGGACATTTTTAGCAGTGGTACTGCCCACCGAATACAAGGGAGATAATTTCACAGTAACATGTGTACACCCCTTTTTATGCCTTTGCAGCTTAAGGCTAGGTTCCTATCTATGCAGGTTGCAGTTGATGCATTTTTCCGGCACATTTTGTGTTTTTGAACATGCTTTTTTTATGCATTTTGTGGTTTCTTTGGCTAATAGGAAAGTATTACAGTTCTGTTCATGTAGTGCGACTTAATGCGACTTTGATCCAACTTTACACTCTCTAGTACTCAAGTAGCATCAAAGTAGTGCAGGAAACTTTGTGTTCAAAGTCACGTTAGGGTCAGGGTTAAAGGCTAGGGTTAAACGTAAGGGTAGGGTTATGGTTAGAGTTAGGATTAGCACTTTAACCATAACAATTATCTACTAGCCCTAAAATGTGACTGTGAACACAGTAAGGTTCTTGCACTACTTTGATGCTAAAAAAGCAAAACGCAAAAAAAATACAACACTTGCGTTTCTGGTGTGGGTCTATTGAAGTCTATTACACAAAAAACGCAATCTGCTGTGGGAAAATAGTCACTGACGCTTTGCAAAAAAATGCACTGGCTCAAAATGCACAGATGTGAACCAGATCCATAGGAAACCATGTTAAATGGACTGTAGTGCATTTCTGCAAAATGCACTAAAAACACATAGGTGTGAACCAAGGGTAAGAGGTGGTTGACCTATGTTTTCAACGCCTCTACAACCTCAAATGTAAACAAGCCATAAAATTAAAAACTGGCTAACTAGGCTGGCCTAACTTGCATGAGTTGTGTATGAATTTATGTATAATGTCTATACATAATTTGTCTATACAATACATAACGTCTATACATAATTTGTGTTCCCTTTATACATTTGCTGGACTGAGATATATTACACAGCTTTCAAACATGTATATTGACATGCCCTTCCTTTTCTAACAAAGGAAGCAACTAAACGAAGTATTAACTATAACCCGGTGACTCACACAGGATAACGGTAGCTAAGAATGTTACAATGATGTTGTGTCACCGGGATGAAGTCATGTCTGTTGATAAGTCAAGACCTGATGAAAGCTGGCTGGGAGAGAGCATGTACTGAACATATCAAGCTCAAAATAAACCTACCATTGGCTTGACAGCTTTAAAATAAACCTCATTTACACAATCCATCCTTCCCTTTTCCACAAACCACCCCCAAATGTTCTAAATATTCCCAACTTATCCCCACAATGGAACTCTATCCAAGTTCTTTTTTTTGTCTGTACAGTGTGGGGAAGGATAGGAACTGTCTGTGTCATTGGATTTCACCTTCAAAAAAGTAAGTGCAGCGCTAAATGAATGTAATGTATGATAAAAATAATAAAAAGTTCAGATAAATGAACATATGTTGAACTCCAGCTGGAAGTTGGAACAATCCACAAATGACAAATTGTGCAGATATCAGTGCAATAGCAGCAATAGAGTGCCCACTCTGCATGATAACTTCTACCAAAGTGATCGTTTCTACATACACAATTAATTTTTAGAGCCCACCTGATCCACCGCAGTATCCAGAGGAAGGAATCGCTGTTCCACAGGCTTCTACACCCACCCATCCCTAAAGGGGACCTCTGGCTGACTGGATTCTTTACTACCCAAGAGCTCCTGAGACACCTCCAGTATCCAGAGGGAGTATTATCCTTGGCTTGGCTACATCTGATTCCTAACGGGGACCTCCATTGTCTGATTTAATGCGTATATACATTACACATCTGGTGAGTGTGTATTCTTACCCCACTGATTTGGAGCACCATCACTGAAGTATTATTGCTGCTATTGCACTGATATCTGTACAAATTGTCACTTTTGGATTGTTACAACTTCCAACTGGAGTTCAACATATGTTCATTTATCTGGACTTTTTATTATTTTTATCATACATTCATTTAGCGCTGCACTTACTTTTTTGATTGTTATTGAGGTCTTTATATTGGTTACCTTTTACATATAAAGCGGTCACTTTTCTTTTATTTGATGATCATTGGATTTCACCTAAACTCATGCAAGGAGCACAAAAGGAAATGAGGGCCGATCTCTCCAAAGGGTGAATACATAGTAGTGTAAGCACACGTGAAGTGACAAGAACGTCTGTCATTTTGTTATTGATTTTGTGATCCCGAAGAGATTCTTCCTTCTTTCTCTTTTATCTTGCTGAAATCCCACCAATTATTGGCAAAAGACAATAGGCTTCATGTAGGGCATAAAAAAATTCAAACCAAAACAACCATTCAAATGTTTTATTCAGTACAGACACTCCTTACCTAAGGACCAAATTCCGTTCGAAGGACTTGGCCATTAAGGGAAATGGTCAGTGTGCGAGGAACTGTATACAGTACACATACCGTCCAACAGCTGGTTGTAAGTCTGAGAGGCGGTTTGTTATGCAAAGAACTGAGCTGGTCATAAGTCTGAGACAGTTGTTAAGCGAGGAACTCTATACATGTACCATCGGAGAGTAGTTAAGCGAGGAAACTGTATCCGTCGGAAAGCAGGTCAAAAGTCTGAGCAGTCACTAAACAGGTAGGTCATTAAGTGAGGTGTATCTGTAAATTAAAAATAAATCTAAAATATGATTGGCTAGTATAGGTAATTGGTAGTATAGGTATGTTCTACCTCTATTATATATAAGGCCCAAAGAGTCATGGTCCAATGCATTCAGAAAGATTATATGATGACTTGGACAGCAGCAATAAAATCTATAGTTATTAGCTATAGAAGATGGTGACTAAGGCGCTTCTGCATTTGGCTGCAACACATTTCTATCACATGTTCATCAGAGGCGCTGGAGAACACAAGTACCTACAGAAACTGGGAATTCTGCATCCAGCGAAAAATGCTGTCCAACATGGACAGCTCAACAAAACTACAAAATCATGTAAAATTGCCTATTCGCATACCACAGTATATTATTCAAGGCAAGGAAAACTAGAATAGATTCAAAGCTGCTGCTATGTTTTTCTACCAAGTCACAAAATGCCATGGTCCATCTAAAAACTGAAGCCAAAGTGGCAACCTACAGAATACATGTATTCATTTTTCTATATCCTGATTGGTTTTAAAGGGTTAGTTCACCTTTACCAAAAACTGCCTATGCAGAAACAGTGTGTCTGTAAATAAAAACAAAGTGCACCTTTCAAGAAAGTTGAATAATGCCCTTGCTATAGGTGTGGACCATTTTACATACAGTATCTCATGAAGTCTGACTGCAATACTCCCAGAATGCAGCTAAGAGAGGCCCAGCTGTTACTGTTCACATCCACCATTACAGGAGTGAATGGTCAAACATTGAGCTGAGAGCTACTGCATCTGGGGAGAGAAAGTGCCTGTAAGAGGGACTGAATCTGAGAAATAGCTCACTCCCGTTATGATGAAGGTGACAGTAACAGCTGGACCTCTCTTGACAAAGTCCTGGGAGTTATCCAGTCAAGCTTCTTGAGGTACATAAATGACCTAAACCTATAGCAAGGGCATTATTTAATTTTTGTCAAAGCAGCACAGCTTGTTTTTATCTACAGACATCCATTATCTTCATAGGCAGATTTTTGGTAAAGGTGCACTGTACCAGGGGCGGACTGACAACTCATGGGGCCCCCGGGCAATAGGGGATCATGGAGCCCCTGTGTCCTTGCCCAAACTCAAAAAAGCCTATGAAAAAGGGGCATCTCATGGGGCCCCCTACTGACCCCAGGCCCTCGGGCAGTGCCCGAGTTTCCAAATTGTCAGTCCGCCCCTGCACTGCACCCAGTATCTTTACTTTCCTCTGCACCACTTCATATAAAAGTGCTAAGAAGATTATGGCTTGTTGCTTCACTCAGAAACTCAAATCTTACAAGAAAGTAATACTAATCACAGCTGTGTGCCACAAGTCAGACGTCAATGTGTTTGCACTTGCAACATTTGTAATCCAAAATGCTACAAAACAGACTATTTGTGTTTGTCTTCTTAGGCAGGCCCTGTGGTTCCTGTCATTGCACACAGACATGTGCAATGTTTGCTGTACTTTACATACAAATATTTACATTGAACGCTGGATTAACAGCTGATCCTGTAACAGAGGTAGTGCAGAACAGAAATAGAACATGTGCTGCTTTTCACACCATTTCAACAATGTAACAATTACATGAGAGCCCCTTCCAGATTTGTTTGCCTTGATGGGATATAGAAGGCTGACATACTGGCTAAAAAAACAGTGCTCAAAATAGGAAACCAGGGATAAAGAATAAAAAGAAAGAAATATTCGCCTTACATTTCACTTCTCGCACTTGTCTAGGCGGGCAGATACGACATCACTCTGCCTTCTCTTTTTTTTTTTTTTTTTGTTCCAGGGCCCATTCACACCATTGCGCTGTGGTACTGTACATTTTGCTCAGTTCATTCTGAATGGTATTTAAACTGTACTCCAACATACCTTCCCTAAGAAACTGAACATTGCACTGTAGTGCCTTGAGCTGCTGAAAATCCTGCATTCTAAATTTGTGTGGTCCATTGTCATACACTGGCCAGACAGACTGGTATTACTAAACTAGTGATATTCATTCAGGTGGTGGGGGCCATTTTAAGTAGGATCTACTCCCATTATTGCTTTAATTTATATTTTTTTCAAGGGGTAATAC